CACCCAGGAGCACGATCATGTCGGAGTCCAACCAGAGACTCTTGACACAGGACCCAGTGGCTCTGAAATCGCTGCTACCCCAGAGACATTGACAACCGCAGACTCACCAGGTGTTGGAGTTGAGACAGTGATTGAGGAGGACAATGTGCTTGGCAATGTTCTTCCACAGGATTTGTCACCTCCACCAGGATTGGACACAATCCCTACATCTGGCACGAGCAGCATGAGCAGCCCTTCATATCAGCCCGAGGTTGAAGTCAGCCCTCAAGTGACTGGACCCGATGAGGAGATAGACCTCCTTGATGGAAGCGTTCCTCCCAGGGCATCAAATGCAGCAACCTATGCATGGGATGAGTGTGTACGACCAATTCCATCGGTGGCTTTCCTGATGAGTCGGCAGCAGCACAAAGTGAAGAAGAAGGTGCAGCGTACAAAGAAGACAGGCGCGGGACGGGAGCTGACATTTGAGAAGGAGAGTGCAGAGATGCAGGCCAAACTCATTGAGACAAGGCGCAAAGAGTGGGGCAATTGGACAAAATACACAGATGTCAAATGGTTGAGTGAGGAGCAATTGGCAGAGCTGAAACGTGACATGCCTGGACTTCGTGTGATTCCTACCAGGTGGGTCGACGTGAACAAGGCCGAGCCGAATGAAGAAGACATCTTGAAGAGCAGGCTTGTGGTCAGGGGCGACTTAGAGGACGCCTCGAAGATCAGAACAGATTCACCGACCTGTTCAATGCCGATGATGTCTTTGAGCCTCATTCTCTCAGCATGCCGGGACACAGACCTATGGACTGGAGACATCTCAGCGGCATTCCTACAAGGATCAAAGCTTGACAGGACATTGGTTCTTTCAATGCCGCGTGGAGGTATCCCAGATGAGCCCAGTGGTCGATACTACATGGTTTCCTCAACCGTGTACGGTACAAAAGATGCTCCACGAGGTTGGTACAAGAATTTGCATGCTTCACTGCTTGAGCAAGGATTCACTCCAGTACCTCATGAACCAGCCGCTTACAGCTTGCGAGAAGAGGACGGCGCGTTGGCCGGGTTGGTTGTTGTACATGTTGATGATCTGCTTTGGACAGGTGGCAAGCATGTTGAGTTGAAGATGGAAGCCATATGCCAGAAATACAAGTTTGGCAAACTGT